AAAGAATGATATGTGCATTTTTGTTAATCTTCACAAATTGTGCAGGGTAGATGCTCAGCAGGCAAAGCCCCTTGCTACCAAGTTTGATGATTTGAGTTCAATTTCTAGAACCCACACGGTAGAAGGAGAGAACCAACTCCTGTACTTGTTATCTGACCCCGTGCACTGTATGTGGCTACACACACACACACACACACACACACACACACACACACACACAAATTAAGTATAATAAAATTTTAAAAAATATTACTTATATTTCTAGTCACTTGTATTATTAGTTTTTAACTTTTGTCTTGCCTTTAAATTTAATAGATAATTGACACTATCTTTTCTCTTTGTAATATTTTCCTTCATTGTTATTTTACAGCATATGTATGTATGTATGCATGTACATGTATGTATGTATATGTACAGGTTTGTGTGCACATGCAGCTCTGTAGGTACATGTGTACTCACATCTGCAAAGGAATAAGGCAGGAGCATCTCAAAGGAGTCGGTACTAGACAGAACATCAGTGATGGGGAAGTGTTTGGAGAGACGCCTTCAAACCTGCAAAGGAGGTCAATGGTGCCTATCTTCCTCAATCATTCTATCTCATTCTTTTGAGACAGGATTTCTCACTGAGTGTAGAGCTCATTTGTCAAGACTAGCTCATCACCTGGCTAAACAACATTATTATTATTATTATCATTATTATTTGGTCATTAAGAACACTAAGTTGTTTAGAAATTTAGATTATTATTTTTATAGATTATTTTGTCATGTAGATTTATTTCCTTATAAATGGATTCAGATGAAATAATTTTGGGGATTCCATCTCAGTAATGTTGTCTTTCTAAAACAAACAAACAAACAAACAAAGCAAGCAAGCCAAGTACTGCAGTCTAAGTAGTTTAAACAATCAGAATTAATTTCCAAAGTTCTGGAAGTTCAAGGTTCAGGTTCAAGCTTGATTTCTTCCAAGACCCCCCTTTTGGCTCATAAATAGCTGTCCTCTCTTATCATCTCTTGGTCTCTCTTCTGTGTGTGTCCATGTATGCTAGGGTGCATAAAGGAGATAAGGTTCCTTACCTAAGGACATCAGTCACATCGGACTTGTACAGCCAACCACCATAATAGCCTAACTGAAGTACCTCTTTGAAGGCTCTGTCAGTAACACAGCCACCTTGCTTTCTTCTGTGTTTATACTCTCTGGGCTTCCTCAGAGCACTGTGGGTACCTTTACACATGGTCATGGCAGCCACTGTTTCAGAGGGTCTTCTTCTAGAATCCTTGGCTTCTCACCCAAAAGGCTGTGCTCTGGAATAAGGCAAGAACATCTGAAAGGAGACAGTATTAGACAGAACATCAGTGTTGGGGGAAGTGTTTGGAGGGAAACCACAGGGTCCTATGTGAGCAGGACTTCTTTATGTCCCATGACTGATCTCATCTGAGAGTCCAGAGTTTGAAGCTGGGGAGAGAACAGGCCATCAAGCTCTGAGTAGAACTGTCTTTTGGTGTGTTGCCCTGGTAGAGTAGGAATGGTGTCCGTGTATGAAATAATGGGAAGCCCCTGACCTCTGCTGCCTCTATCTCTCACAGGTCCAAGTGGCCTATCAGGGAACACTATGATGTTCTAAAGTAGTGGTCTACAACCTGTGGGTCAGGACCCCCTTGGGGTTGTATATCAGATCTCTATGGTAGGATTCATAACAGTTGCACAATTACAGTTACAAAGTAGCAATGAAATAATTTTATGGTTGGGTTACTACAACATGAGGAACTGTTCTAAAGGCTTCCATCCCCCCTCCCCGCAATTTCTTCAGAGCAAAAAGGAGTACCAATGAGTCAGTCTTGGGTGAGCTGTGGGAGTCAGGTGAGAAAATTAGGGCACTCTGAAGACAGAGAAGTCATGTCACACGAGTCACCTAGGTCCTGGTAGTTGGTATCTAATTTTTCTATAAAATTATTTATTTTCAAAAAGTATACTTATAGCTGATTCTTTCTATCATCTCTTAAAACTTTAGTTTTGATCCTCCACAAGTGTGGCAGGTTTAGTACCAGGTGCAGTTTCTATCAAGTCCTTAAGTATAATATAAACCCTAAGCCCATGAATTAACTTCAAACACTTCCTGTCACCAGTGTATCTTTTTATTATCCGTGTATATTCATTATACAAAGTGCTGAGTCTCATGGCGTCAATGTATTTCAAGTACACTGTAGCCCAGGCTGACCTGAGACTTGCAGCAATCCTTCTGCCTCTTCCTCCTAGGGGGAACACCTGAGACCTGTGACACCAGATGCAGACAGTACAAATTAACACCAAGTAGGGGACCCGTTATATAAGCCCCCAGGAGCTCAGATTGAATTTAGAGAAGAAAGAAAAAAAGAAAAAGAAGAGAATTTTCAACTGAATTGTGAGTGAATTATAAACTCAAATTGACTAAGTAAGACATGACTGTATTTGAATGAGTTTATCTGAAAGTAGCTAGATTAAATTTTCTCTGCTTTGAGATGAAATGAAGGCTCAGGGAAGAAATTATACTCAATTACAGGAAAATAGAGAAAATTACATTTTTGCACACTCAAGTCAGTAGCTGTGAAATTGTGTTGGCTCCAATAATTACAGGCAGCCAGGTGTCAGTAAAACCTCAAGGACAGACCGAAGGATCATTATGGGCAGCGTCTTCCAAGTGATAATCTGATCCAGGCTGTAACTGAGAAGGTCAGTGCATTGTCTCTTCACTAGACATCATGATGAAGTGAATTTGAATTTCTGCTCAAAATCTTCCCTTTATATCAGAAAGTTGGGCCTTGGGAGATAGAGAAAGCCTTTTCTTTCAAAGTTTCCAGAAGCTTGGTCCAGATTATAGCCTAACATGAAGAAAGGAGGAAGTTTCAGGTGGTGTTGGAATCCTGTGGAACCCTCCTCCCCCAGCAACTCTTCACACCACTAAGACCTGGATGAGACCCCTGGAGACTCCTGCTTTTCACAGGTAAGACCCACAGAGGAAGAAGAAGGAGAGTAAGCTTGGATATGAATTCTTTCATCTTCCAGTCCTTCTCCGTGGTTTTGTTGCAGACTCCTTTGGAAGCTCATAGCTCACATCTGGTAGCCTTCTCCACACACTTATGTGTCTCCCCTGGACTCCTGATCTTTATGCTTTCAGATTGGGATAGAAATGCACCGTTAGCCAGGCGGTGGTACACACCTTTAATCCCAGCACTAGGGAGGCAGAGGCTCCCTGTGCAGAGGATCTCTGTGAATTTGAAGCCAGCCATGTCTACAGAGGGAGTTCCAGGACAGCTAGAGCTGTTACAGAAACCTTTCAAAAAACAAAACCAACCAACCAAACAAAAACACAAAGAAGAAATTCTCTATTGAACTTCCCTTTCCCATGGGGTGCCTGCTAAAGCTTTGTCCACAAGCCTGAAAACCACGAATTTGTAATTACTCTCTAATTACTGTCCACTGCTGTGGTGTCTTCGCTGATGTTCTGGGGACAGTTATAGGACATCCAGTGCTATCTGCATGGGTTAGGAGGTGGTGCATGCTATTGGTGGACTGAAAGGAATGGTTTTCTCTTTACAGACAAATCTGAAGCCCCATGTGAGTAAGATTGTCAATTTGTTTTTTACTTGGTAGTCTTGCTCAAGTCAAAGTTCTGGATGCAGTTCAAAGTCTTTCAAGTCTCAGATTTTTCATTATAAACAGTAATTCCTATAGATGTGAAAAATGACAACCAGTAAAAAGCTCTGGTTGTCCTGTTCAGAGCACGCAACAACGACCCCTAAGCTGAGTGCTTTTGTTGAGTTGACAATAGCTGAGAATTCACCTTTGGATAGAAAGAGAGAAGGTCAGGGCACCTTGCCATCTTGAGCCTCTGATCTATTATAGCCACTAGTATTAGTTCAATAGAAATTTTGATCCCTCCAGCTCCTAGAAAGTAGTTTCCCATTTACAGAGAATTCTAGAAGCTTGAGGGACTCCATGACCTTGATATACAAGAGAGAAGGACAGTACTTTAATTCATTGTTCTATTTGTTCATTAGCTGAACACTTTAGTCTAAAAATAGACATATATCCTGATAACTGGAAGTGGTTTTAGTGGTTTTTTTTTTTTTTTTTTTTTTTTGAGGGGGGCCTGTGGGATGGCATCCTTCTAGACACCACAGCAACAGTTGGATCAAAAAGGCTTATAGTTAACTGTGCCGAGCCATGCACTGTGTGTGTCAGGTTTGTTTCTACAGGACCGATACTGGGAAAGCCACTCCAGGTGATTTTCATCTGAAAGGTAGATTTTATCTTTCCAGAGACTTGCCACAACTTGAGAACTCAGGGCCTGGCACTGGCAGGAGTGATGTCACTCTGAACACGAAGCCAATCTGATTGCTGGAAAGAAACCCAACAAAAACTCAGCGATGTCCATTTTCCTGTCCTGTTCTCAAGAGCACCCCAGAGCAGGCAGGTTTGGAACATCCTGGTGTCCTTTGTCTCTTACTAATCAAAGGAACTCCTCCAGCCTTATCTTGGGTGGTGGGACAATTTAGGCAAATATGGTTGTTTTGTCCTCCCAAGGTGTGTCCTGGTAGCAACCACACATAGCTAAAGGTACTCGCTACTTCAACTGACTCCTGCAGCCTCAGTTTTTACCATGGGGAATCCCATGACTTCAGTGAAGCCTTGTCTCCTGAACAAACCCAAAGAAATTGGATCCATCATCAGAAAGATTGATTTGGAGGGAGTCCTGAGTGGGAATTCAGGTGACTGATCTTTTTAGTCACTTAACAGTCACTGCAAGAATCTTGCCTTGTAGTTGCCTTGTAGGGGTAATTAGGGCTCATCCCATCTTAACCTTGCCTTGACTAAGGGTAAATTAAGGGTCATAGTTAATAGTGCCTGGCCCTTTAAATCTTGTATCCATAGCACCATAGTCATGCCATTGTTATGTATTTGTTGCCTGTGGGGACTCTGGCTAGCTGGGACACAAAGGGGACTCCACCAAAGGGAGACAAGCCAAAGCCTGCCATTACCACCCTGGCTTTCTGTAACTGGAATCTAGCTAGGGCCTGAGGAAGCCCATTATGAAAACACCCATTTCCATACACTCTGCACTAACACACTAAGCAATTTGGACTCTGCTGAGGAAGGCCCATGAGGGATTTTCCCCCCCTTTTTATCTGGGTGACATTGAGAAGACAGTCACATGATTTGGGTAAGTCATATTATAAAATGAATGTCTGCTCAGACCTCTGGTGAAACTCATTTCTGTAAAGGTATAGGTGGTTAACCTGAACAAGGCACACAGAACAACCTGGGTCAATTGAATGTGGGCTTTAGTAATTGAATACATACACTGCCTGGCCATGTAGACATATGTCAAAGAAATACATCATATACATATCAATCTCATAATCAGGAAGTCAGGACAGTACTCTGAATCTGAACAGTGTTGAAATTCTTCCACAGCCTATTCTTTCTTTTGATAATTGTTGAATTATTGATAACATTATTATTAAAGAAGACCCGTAGTTTATGATTATCCCATCATGTTGTATATTATATGGTTTTTGACAAATGTATAATGTCTTCACTATTACAGTATTAGAATAGTGTTCTTGTCCCCCTAATCACTTGTGCCTTCCTCCCTCCCCTCCCTTCTTCCCTCTCTTCCTCCCTCCCTCTCTTCCTCCCTCCTCTTTCCCTCCCCTCCCTTCTTCCCTCTCTTCCTCCCTCCCTTCCTTCCTCCCTCCTCCTTCCCTCCCTCCCTCCCCTTCCTTCTTTCTTTTCCCTAATTCTGGTAACCACTGAGCATTTATTGATTTATATTTTGGTTTTCCTAGACAGGGTTTCTTTGTGTAACAGCCCTGGCTGCCCTGGAACTCTCTTTGTAGACCAGCCTGGCCTCAAATTCACAGAGATCCACCTGCTTCTGTCTCCTGAGTGCTGGGATTAAAAGTATGTGCCACCACATCAAGCCTACAGAGCATTTATTTTTTGCCTTAGTTTCATCTTTCCAGATGCCAGTTGGAAGGTAGTTACCTTCACTACTGCCCATGCTAACTGGAATGTCATGTAGCTGAAGACATGCAGGATATAGCCAGGCTGACTTTTCTCTTTGAACAATATTAATGTGTCTTTTTGTGGCTAAATACTGTGTTTTCTCACAGTTTATCCACTCATCTATTAAGGAAAGAGGATGCCCTAGTTGTTCCAATATTTCAGTTTATGGGTGTGTGTGTGTGTGTGTGTGTGTGTGTGTGTGTGTGTGCGTGCAAATGCCTAGGATTCTGGCTGCTGGCTCATAGGGTCAGACAGAAGCTGCCAGGCTGTATCCTAAAGTTTCTGTGCCATCTTGCAGCCTCCTTAAGTAATGAATGGGGGTTCTCCATGCTCCATATTCATTGGCTTTTGTTAGTGTTTAGACATTTAGCCCTTCTAATAGATGTATAGTGGTATCTCATTCCTGTTTTAATTTGAGGTTCCCAAATGACTTATGATATGTTGTTTTTCCTATACTGACTAGCCACGTATGTTTCTTCTTTAGTGAGATGTCTGTTTAGATCTTTTGCCCATTTAAAGAATTTGAATTTTCTTATTAATGAGTTTAAAGACTTCTTTTGGGTAACATCAGATATGTACTTTGTAAAGTTTTTGGCTTGTGTTTTCACTATTTAACATGGCCCTTAAATACTATTTTATTCGTTTATGTGTGTGTGTGTGTGTATGTGAGTGTTGGTGAAGGCCAGAAGAGGGTATTAGGTTCCCTGGAGCTCAATGACAGGAGGTTGTGAGTCTCCTGACACAGCTATTTAAAGTTTCTTTTAACTGATGAGTCATGTTTGTAGCTCTCCTCAATATGGTCTCTTAATTTTTTTTTTAAGAGTTACTTAAAGTGTAGGAGTGTTTTTCCTGCATGTAAGTCTGCATACCACATAAATGCCTGGTACCTTCAGAGGTCAGAAGAGTGTGTCAGATCCCTTGGAACTGGAGACACAGATGGTGGTGTGTCACCATGTGGATTTGGGAACTAAACCCTAGTCCACAACAAGAACAAGTGCTTTTAATCACTGAGCCATCTCCAAACCTCTGAAGACGGACTTTTACAGAACAAAAATTATTGATTCCAGTTAAGTCCAGCCCAATTCTGGCTTTCATAGTAATCATTGAATCCAAGGTTACCTAAATTTTCTCCTGTGTTGTCTTCTGAAAGTCATATTCTAATTTTTTCCCTTTTTCTGAGACAGGGTTTCTCTGTGTTAAAGCTCTGGCTGTCCTGGAACTTGAGCTGTAGACCAGGCTGGTGTAGAACCCACAGTGATTCTCCTGCCTCTGCTCCCAAATGCTGGGATTAAAGGGGTGTGCCACCACCACCCATCTCTAATTTATTTCTCTGCTCGATTTGTAGTTAATTTTTGTGAAAGGTATGTTTTTTTTGACAATGAGTTTCCCTTAGTCCCTTGTCAAAGATTCAGGGACTCTGCTGGTGTGGGTGGTACTTCTGAGATGTTTCCTGACTTGTCAACTTTTCCAATTCCATATTATCTTCATTACTGCAGTTTTTTTTTTTGTGTGTGTGTAAATATGGCTACTATCTATCTACCTTATTTTATATATTGATTCCAATACCCTCTCTCCCTCCCTATCATGCCCCCCCAACTCCTATCCATCCCCCCTACTACACAGGAACAGTGATGCCTTCCAGGAGGGATCATCAAAATCTGTCAAGTCATTTGGAGAAGGATCTAGGCCCTCCCTCCTGCCTCTAGGCTAAGGGAGTATCCCTCCCTGGGGAATGTGCTCCCAAAGTCCTTTCATGTACCAGGGATACATCCTGGTTCCACTGTCAGAGGTCCCTTAGACTGCCCAGGCCTAATTGAGATCCACGTTCAGGGGTTTCCCCAGCTATCAGACTGGTGTCCATGAGCTCCCCCTTGTTCAGGTCAGCTGTCTCTGTGGGCCTCTGTAGCCTGGTCTTGACCGCTTTCCTTATCACTCCTCCCTCTCTGCAACTGGATTCCAGGAGTTCAGCTCAGTGCCTAGCTGTGGGTGTCTGCTTCCGTTTCTACCAGCTACTAGAGGAGGACTCTATGATGGCATATAAGTTAGTTATCAATCTCATTATCAGGGAAGGGAATTTAAGGAAGCCTCTCCACTGTTGCTCACATTGTTAGTTGGGGTCATCCTTGTAGGTCTCTGGACATTTCTCAAGAGTCAGTTTTCTCTTCAAACCTATAACGACTTCCTCTATTATGGTGTCTCTTTTTTTTTCTCTCTCATCTATTTGTCCCCTGACTCAATCTTCCTAGTCCCACATGTTCTCCTCTTCTCCCTTTCTCTTTCTCCTAACTCCCTCTCCACTCACTGGCCCCCCTCACTCCACTCCCAATATGCTCAGATCTTGTTCCTTTCTACTTCTGTGAGGGACCTTGTAGGAATCTTTTAGGTTCCTCCTTATATCCTAGTTTCTCTGGCAATGTTAATTATAGGCTAGTGATCCTTTGCTCTGGGTCTAAAATCTATATATGAGTGAGTACATACCATGTTTCTCTTTTTGTGACTGGGTTACCTCACTCAGGATGATTTCTTAAAAGTTCCATCTATTTGCCTGTGAATTTCAAGATTCCATTCCCTCCCCCCCACTCCGAGTACATTGTGTAAATGTACCACATCGTCTTTATCCATTCTTCATTGAGGGGCATCTAAGTTGCTTCCAGGTTCTTGCTACTACTACTTGTTACTGCCATGAACATAGTTGAGCACATGTCTTTGTTACATGTATGTGGATCATTTGGGTATATGTCTAAGAGTGGTATTGCCAGGTCCTGTGGTAGACTGATTCCTGAGGAACCACAATACTGATTTCCAAAGTGGCTGTACAAGTTTACACTTCCACCAGCAGTTGAAGAGTGTTCCCCTTTCCCCACATTATCTCCAGCATAAGCTGTCATTGGTGTTTCTAATTTTAGCCATTCTCATAGGAGTGGCATGGTATGTCAGAGTTGTTTTGATTTGCATTTCCCTGATAGCTAAGAAAGTTGAGCACTTCCTTAAGTGTCCTTCAGCCATTTTGGATTCCTCTATTGAGAATTCTCTATTCATTTCTGAACCCCACTTTTTAATAGGGTTATTTGGTGTTTTGGTAACTAGTTTCTTGAGTTCTTTGTATATTTTGGAGACCAGCCTTGTCAGATGTAGGGTTGATGAAGATCTTTTCCCAGTCTGTGGGCTGCCATTTGGTCTTGTTGATTGTGTCCTTTGCCTTACAGAAACTTCTCAGTTTCAGGAGGTCCCATTTATTAATTGTTGATCTCAGTGTCTGTGCTACTGGTGTTATGTTCAGGAAGTGGTCTCCTGTACCAATTCATTCAAAGGTACCTCTCATTTTCTCTAGTAAGAGGATTTATGTTGAGGTCTTTGATCCATTTGAACTTCAGTTTTGTGCATGGTAATAGTTATGAGTCTATCTGCAGTCTTCTACACACTATCATTCAGTTTTACCAGCACCATTTGTTGAAGATGCCTTCCTCCTTTCATTGTATAATTTTAGCTGTTTTGTCAAAAATCAGGTGTTCATAGGTGTGTGGGTCAGTATCAGAATTTTTGATTTGATTCCATTGGTCTTCTTGTCTATTTTTGTGCCAATACACAAGCTGTTTTCAAGACTATAGCTCTATAGTAGAGCTTGAAGTTGGGTATGGTGATGCCTCCTGAAGTTTCTTTATTGTACAGGGTTGTTTTGGCTATCCTGGGTCTTTTGTTTTTCCTTATAAAGTTGAGTATTATCCTTTCAAGGTCAGTGAATAATTTTGCTAGGATTTTGATGGGGATTGCATTGAATCTGTAGATTGCTTTTGGCAAGATTGCCAAACATTTTACTATGTTTATCCTACCTATGCAGGAGCATGGGAGATCTTTCCATTTTCTGGTATCTTTTTAAACGTTTTTTCTTTAATGACAGAAACTTCTTGCTATATAGGTATTTCACTGTTTGGCTAGCTTTACCCCAAGATACTTTATATTGTTTGTGGCTATTGTAAAGGGTGATGTTTCTCTGATTTCTTTCTCAGACCCTTTATCTTCTGTATATAGTAGAGCTACTGATTTATTTATTTATCTATTTATTTATTTATTTTGCATTAATCTTGTATCCTGCTAGTTTGCTGAAGGTGCTTATCAGCTGTAGGAGTTCCCCGGTAGTTTTTCTGGTCACTT